AAAAAAAAAAATAAAAATAAAAAAAATAAAAAGAGCATGAGAAAGTATCCGATATGGAGGGAGGACATTCTAGGAACAAATTCTCTTTTTTTTTTTTTTGAGACACTGTCTTATTATGTCGCCCTCGGTAGAGTGCTGTGGCATTATAGCTCACAGCAACCTCAAACTCAGCAACCTCAAACTCTTGGCCTTAAGCAGTTCTCTTGCCTCAGCCTCCCAAGTACCTGGGACTACAGGCACCTGCCACAAAGCCTGCTATTTTTTAGTTGCAGTTGTCATTGTTCTTTTAGCAGGCCGTGGCCAGGCTTGAACCCACCAGGTTCAATGTATGTGGCCAATACCCTACTCAGTGAGCTACGGTCGCCGAGCCTAGGAACAAATTCTTTGTGTTTTTTTTGTTTTTTTTAATTGAGACAGAGCCTCAAGCTATTGCCCTGGGTAGAGTCCTATGACATCACAGCTAACAGCAACCTCCAACTCCTGGGTTCAAGTGAGTCTCCTGCCTCCAGCTCCCAAGTAGCTGGGACTACAGGCACTCGCCACAACGCCTGGCTATTTTTTAGTTGCAGCCATCATTGTTTGGTGGGCCCGGGCTGGATTTGAACCCGCCAGCTCAGGTGTATGTGGCTGGCGCCTTAGCCCCTTGAGCCATAGGTGCCGAGCCAGAACAAATTCTTTGAAATAGTGAAGAGTTTGAACTAGCAGAATAGAGGCCCTTAATTGTAACAGTCACCGAAAGCTGTCTTGTGGTTAAGAAAACTACAGGAGCTAGTAAGTTAGCGGTGCAGTCTGGAGTTCATCTTCTGCCATGTTGTGATCTTGTTGTCTCTCTTAGCAGGTAGGCTGCCAGGCTGATGCTGAATCTTCTATCTTGGCCAAGTGACTATCTGGCATACAGAGGCATGAGCTGGGTCCGAGCCATCTTGCTAGCCCGAGGCCTCTCTAAGAGCTGGGGAGGCATCTGCCGGGCCACCTTTCCTGGAGCTCCCATCTCTCAGGTAACTACCAGCTGAATAGTTGTTAGGGTGGAAGGAGAAAGGCCTGAAATTTGTTCCTAGCACTTTTAGAATTCACCTAGTGAGCCAGCTCTAGTAGTCTGGGCTGGCCTGTCTGTGCTGAGGGCCCATTGAAGTTTCCTAATTTATTTTAAGAGGTGCTAGTTGCCCACATGGTGAGGGGGTTGACTTTGCAAATAGGGATGCATGAGCTCAGTAGATTTGGGGATGACTGTGGGTAATTCCTGCATTCATTTGTAAAGATGGAGGAGGGGCAGAAAACTGAACCTCCTGCCCTAATCCAAAGTGACCCAATTTGCACAAGCCAACCAACAGCCATAGATAACAACGGCAACGATGATGGTGATATTAATAGTTCCCTACTGCCTGGTGCTGTGTATGCATTTCATTTACATTTTTTTTTTTTTTGAGACAGGAGCCTCAAGCTGTCCCCCTGGGTAGAGTGCCCAACTCTCAGCTCACAGCAACCTCCAACTCCTGGGCTCAAGCGAGCCTCCTGCCTCTGCCTCCCAAGTAGCTGGGACCACAGGCGCCCGCCACAATGCCTGGCTATTTTTTGGTTGCAGCCGTCATTGTTGTTTGGCGGCCCAGGCTGGATTCGAACCCACCACCTTGGGTGTACATGGCTGGCGCCTTAGCCACTTGAGCCACAGGCGCTGAGCCCATTTACATTATTTTTTATCTGATGTTTCCCCTTCTTCCGGCATTGTTTGGCTTCCTTTCTGATTTTTACCATATAAATATACCACCTGTAGTTTTTCGGTATTTTTTTTTTGAGACAGAGTCTCACTATGTCACCCTAGGTATCGTGCTGTGGCATCACAACTCACAGCAACCTCACACTCTTGGGCTTCAGTGATCCTCTTGCCTCAGCCACCCAAGTAGCTGGGACTACAAGCACCTGCCACAATGCACAGCTATTTTTAGAGACGGGGTCTCGCTCTGGCTCAGCCTGGTCTCGAAGTCTTGAGCTTAGGCTATCCACCTATCCACCAGCCTTGGCCTCCCAGAGTGCTAGGAGTATAGGTATGAGCCACTGCACCTGGCCTTTTTTTCACTTTTTAGAGTTGGAATCTTGCTTTGCTACCAGGCTGGTTTTAAAGTCTTAAGCTAAAACAGACCTCCTGCCTCAGCCTCTGAAAGTGCTGGGGAATACAGGCCACTGTGTCCAGCCACCTTTTTGGGGTTTTTTTGCTTACTATTACCTTGTCAAAATAAGACATATGGTAGCTGTTAGAGGCAGTAGAGCAGAGGGATTGAGAACACTCTTACCAATCTCAGCTCTGCTGTTTTGCAACTGTGTTATACCATGTATCCCACTCTTTCTGAGCCTCAGTTTCTCATCTATAAAATGGGTACAGGAAGTACACTCCTCACCATAGGACAGCTGTAAAGTTTCACATTATAAAGTGCTCAACAGTGGCTAGAAAGGAAGAGTGTTTGCTAAACACTGGATCTTACTAGCTTTTTTTTTTTTTTTTTTTGTAGAGACAGAGTCTCACTTTACCACCCTCGGTATAGTGCTGTGGTGTCACACAGCTCACAGCAACCTCCAACTCCTGGGCTTAGGCGATTCTCTTGCCTCAGCCTTCCAGGTAGCTGGGACTACAGGCGCCCACCCCAATACCCGGCTATTTTTTTTGTTGTTGCAGTTTATCCGGGGCCGGGTTTGAACCTGCCACCCTCAGTATAAGGGGCCAGGGCCCTACTCAATGAGCCACAGGCACTGCCCATTTTTTTTTTTTTTTTTTGAGACAGAGTCTCACTTTATCATCCTTGGGAGAGTGCCATGGCATCACAGCTCACAGCAACCTCCAACTCCTGGGCTTAGGTGATTCTCTTGCCTCAGCCTCCCAAGTAGCTGGGACTACAGGTGCCCACCACAATGCTATTTTTTTGTTGCAGTTTGGCCAGGGCTGGGGGCTGGGTTTGAACCTGCCACCCTTGGCATATGGGGCTGGTGCCCTACTCACTGACCCATAGGTGCTACCCTAGCTATATATTTTTATAGATGCTTTTTTTTTTGAGACAAAGTCTCAAGCTGTCACCCTGGGTAGAATGCTGTGGCATCACAGCTCACAGCAACCTTCAACTCCTGGGCTTAAATGATTATCTTGCCTCAGCCTCCCGAGTAGCTGGGACTACAGGCGCCCGCAACAACACCCGGCTATTTTCTGGTTGCAGCCGTCATTGTTATTTGGCGGGCCCGGGTTGGATTTGAACCCACCAGCTCAGGTGTATGTGGCTGGCGCCTTAGCTGCTTGAGCCACAGGCGCCGAGCCTTTATAGATGCCTTTATGTAACCATTCTAATTTAAACATTCCATTTAAATCAAAATAACAGCCAGGAGTGGTGGCTTACACCTGTAATCCCAGCACTTGGTGTGCCTGAGGTAGGAGGATTGCTTGAGGTCAGGAGTTTGAGACCAGCCTGGGCAACATAGTTAGACCCCCATAACTACAAAACATAGGAAAATTATCTGGGCCTTGTAGTGTACACCTGTACTCCCAGCTACTCAGGAGGCTGAGAAAGGAGGATTGCTTAAGCTCAAGAGTTTGAGGTTACACTGAGCCATGATGGTGCTACTGCAGTCCAGCCTGGGTGACAGAGTGAGACCTTGTCTCAAAAAAGAAAAATAAATAAAATAAAATGAGAAATGTTCAGCTGGGAGCTGTCTCTCATGCCTAAAATCCCAGTGACTGGAGAGGCTGAGGTGGGAGGATGGCTTGTGCCTAGGAGTTCAAAGCTGTAGTGAGCTGTAATGATGCCTCTACACTCCAGCCTGGGTGACAGAGCAAGACTCTGTCTCTAACAAAAAGAAAAAATAAAAATTTGTTACAGTGCCATCTAGAGCAGGGTTGCAAACTTTATATATTGGGTCCAGTAGTAAATATTTTCAGCTTTATGGGCCACATCATCTCTGTTACAGCTACTCACAGTTACTTTGTGCTATGCTACAGCACAGAAGCAACCCCAGACCATTCATACGTGAAAAAGCATGCTGTGTGTATGGCTCAGTTCCCCGTAGCATAGTGGTTATAGCACCGGCCACATACACCAAGGGTGGCAGGTTCAAACCTGGCCCAGGGCCAGCTAAACAACTACAACAAAAAAATAGCTGGGCATTATGGCGGGCCCCTATAGTTCCAGCTACTTGGGAGGCTAAGGCAAGAGAATCGCTTAAGCACAGGAGTTTGAAGGTGCTGTGAGCTGTGACACCATAGCACTCTATGGAGGGTGACATAGTGAGACTGTCTCAAAAAAAAGCGGGGCGGCGCCTGTGGCTCAAAGGAGGAGGACGCTGGCCCCATATGCCAGAGGTGGCAGGTTCAAACCCAGCCCCAGCCAAAAACTGCCCCCCCCCCAAAAAAAGGAAAAGCATGCTGTGTTTCAATAAAACTTTATTTACAAAAGAAAGTGGGTGACTGGAAATGCTCTGTAGGCCATGATTTACCAACTTGTATTCTAGAGGGATCTGGCCAACTTCTAGCAATATGCTGTCCCTACTCTAGATAATAAGATATTCTTGACCCCTGGGAGGTACCATCAGAACAATGGGGAAACTGATGCCCAAACCATCAAGTGAGAAGTGAGCATCACCTGGCTAAAGATACTCAAACTGAGAGGCAGAGTCACTTTGTCGCTCCCAGTAGGGTGCTGTGACATCATAGTTCACAGCAACCTCAGATTCTAGGGCTCAAGCAATTCTCTTGCCTCAGCCTCCCAAATAGTTAGAATTACAGGTACCCGCCACAACACCCAGCTATTTTTAGAGGTGGGGTCTTGCTCTAGTTCAGGCTGGTCTTGAACTTGTGAGCTCAGGTGATCCACCCACCTAGACCTCCCAGAGTACTGGGATTACAGGCATGAGCCACTATGCTTAGCCTTTTTCTTTTCTTTTTTTTTTTTTCTTTTTGAGAGTCGCCCTGAGTGCTTTGGTGTCATAGCTCACAGCAACCTCAAACTCTCACGCTCAGGTGATCCTCCTGCCTCAGCCTCCTGAGTAGCTGGGACTATAGTCATTTGCCATAATGCCCAGCTAGTTTTTCTATTTTTAGTAGAGACAGGGGTCTTGCTCTTCTCAGGGTGGTCTGAACTCTTGATCTCAAGATATCCACCCACCTTGGTGTGCCAAAGTGCTAGGATTATAGGTGTGAGCCACCATACCCAGCTACTGCCTGGCCAGTGTTTCTATATTTTAGTAGAGATGGAGTCTCACTCTTACTGAGGCTGGTCTGGAACTCTTGAGCTCAAGGAATCCACCCACCTTGGCCTCTCAGAGTGCTAGGAATACAGGTGTAAGCCACTGTGTCTGGCTTTCTTTTTTTATTATTTTCATATAGTTATTTATTTTTGGAGCCGGACTCTCACTCTGTTGCCCAGGCTAGATTGCAGTGGCACCATCATAGCTCACTGCAAACTCCTAGGCTTAGGTGCCCCTCTTGCCTCTCAGCCTCCCAAGTAGCTGGACTACAGGCTCTTGACCACTACGCCTGGCTACCTAGCACCGTGTTTTATCATACTTGGAAATACTGTATGATCTTGGGTGTGTAACCACAGTTCCATGCTTCTTGGAGGCCTTTAGAGATGCAGCTGACGCTTATCCCTGGAAAGAGCCAGTCCAGCAGCCTCCCAGTGATACTGGGAGGTGCGGACTCTAGCAGTAGTCCTCTGTCTTCAGGTGTCTCCCCAGCCCTCGCGGGGCCTCCACCGTAGCGCAGCTGCCCACAACTCCGAATTGTCACTGGTTCCAGGCCCACCTGAGCCCCAGCGGAGGCCCATTAGGGCCCTGGCGCCCCACGAGGACCTGTTCAGGCAGGCGCCGGGTGGCGAGCGGGACAAGGCGAGCTTCGTACGAGCCGTGCAGAGCTTTGGGCAGCGCAACGTACGCAAACGGGGCCACGTGGACTTCATCTACCTGGCCCTGCGCAAGATGCGGGAGTACGGCGTGGAGCGCGATGTGGCTGTGTACAACCTGCTGCTGGACGTCTTCCCCAAGGAGGTGTTCCGACCTCGAAACGTCATCCAGCGCATCTTCGTCCACTACCCTCGGCAGCAGGAGTGCGGGATTGCCGTCCTTGAGCAGATGGAAAACAACGGTGTGGCCTGCAGGCTAGCCCTGGGACTAGGGTGTGGGCTGCCCCACAGCTGGCAGACCCCCTCCCTGGTCTGGGGTCCCTCCTTCCTCCATGGCTCCTGTCTCCCTCTTTCCTGCTCCCCACCCTCTCTTAATTTCTCTTTTTGAAAATTATTTATTATTATATATATTTTTTTATTTTTTATTTTTTGCAGTTTTTGGCTGGGGCTGGGTTTGAAACCGCCACCTCGGTGGCACCTGTGGCTCAAAGGAGTAGTGCGCCGGCCCCATATGCCGGAGGTGGTGGGTTTAAACCCAGTCCTGGCCAAAAACTGCAAACAACAACAACAAAAAACAAACAAGAAACCGCCACCTCCACCTCCAGCATATGGAGCCTGCATCCTACTCCTTGGAGTCACAGGCCCCACCCTGTTTACTAAAAGAGACAGAGTCTTGTGCGGTGCCTGTGGCTGAGTCCGTAGGATGCCGGCCCCATATACTAAGGGCCCCAGACAGCTAAAACAGCAGTGGCGACTGCAACAAAAATAGCTGGGCATTGTGGTGGGCGCCTGTAGTCCCAGCAACTCAGGAGGTTGAAGCAAGAGATCGCCCTAGCCTAACAGCTGGAGGTCGCTGTGAGCTGTGACGCCATGGCACTCTACCGAGGGCAACAAAGTGAGACTCTGTCTCAAAGAAACAAAAAACAAAACAAAACAAAACAAAGACAGGGTGTCCTTACATTGCCCAGGTTGATCTTGAACTCCTGACCTCAAGTGATCCTCCTGCCTCAGCCTTCCAAATTGCTGGGATTATAGGCATGACCTACCATGATGGGCCTTTCAGTCTGCCTTCTGTCTTTCATCTCTTTCTCACTTCCCTCTGACATTTCCTTTATAACACTCCCTGATTCTTTTCCCCTCCTCTGTGATTAATTCCGAGTTCAGTGTTCTCCATTTCCTCTCTTTGTTCCCTCCCTGAGGCTTTTCTTGCATCTGCTTGGCACAGGGGTGATGCCTAATAAGGAGACGGAGTTCCTGCTCATTCAGATATTTGGACGAAAAAGCTACCCCATGCTTAAGTATTTGCGCATGAAGCTGTGGTTCCCCCGCTTCAAGAACATCAACCCCTTCCCCATTCCCCGAGACCTGCCCCAGGATCCTGTGGACCTGGCCCAGTTGGGCCTACGGCACATGGAGCCCGACCTTGGTGCCAAGGTCACCATCTACCAGGTATTTACTCTTGCCCATGCCTTCAGCCACCACCCTAGGCCAGGCCCCATAATTTCTCCCCTGAGAAATTTTACCCCCTCAGGCACACAGAGTGATTGTGGTAGAACCAGGACTGATTCCCTGCTTGATTCTGCAAAAGATTCTATATGGCCCTAACTGAGTGGCACAGCTTAACTTTTAACTTCTGTGTTACTCTGTTTAGGTTACTATAGCAAAACACTATAGAATGAATAATTTTTTTTTTTTTTAAAGAGTCTCACTGTGTTGCCCAGGCTCGAGTACCATAGCATCAGCCTAGCTTGCAGCAACCTCAAACTCCTGTGGTCAAGTGATACTTCTGCCTTAGCTTCCTCAGTAGTTGGGGCTACAAGCACTCACCATGACACCCAGCTAGTTTTACTATTTTCAATAGAGACAGGGTCTCTCTCTTGCTCAGGTTGGTCTCCAACTTATGAGTTCAAGGGACTCAATCTCCCAGAGTGCTAGGATTATAGGTGTGAGCCACCATTCCCAACCTAGAATGAGTAATTTATAAACAGAAATTTATTTGCTTGTAGTTCTGGAGGCTGGAAAGGCCAAGATCCAGGTCCCAGTAGATTTGGTGTCTCGTGAGGGCCTGCTTTTCTGCTTCATAGATGGCACATGACAGGAAGGGACAGATAGGCCCCTTCAGGTCTCTTTTAAAGGGCAGTAATTTCACTCATGAGGGCAGCTAATCACCCACCTCTTAATACTGTGGCATAGGAGAGGTTTCAACATATGAATTTGGGTGGGACATGAATATTCAGGCCATGACAGCCCCTGGCTTCTGCTTCCACCCCTCTCCCAGTAATTCCCTCATGTCTCCCAAGGCCTAGTACAGTGTCTTGCACAAAACTGGCACTCAGCAGTGGTTTGTTGAATGACGGAGTATAACAGCAATCCCTGCTCCAGTGTCCTAGGGACCCTTACTCATGTCAGGTCACGTGGAGGAGTCCAAATTGAGTTCCTCGTAGCACTTGTCATCTATCTGGTCCTGGAGACTGGCCCCAAATAACAGTTTCCTTTGGAGCCACTGATTCTGATCTAGAGAAGCCCAGGGTGCTATGGGAGCCCAGAGAATGCAATAAACAGGGAGGGCCTCCTGGAGGAGGTGAGGTAAGCACTGTAAGCAGAGGGAACAGTATATGCCAGGGCACAGGGTGCAGGGCTTGGGGAACATACTGTTAAAGAGCTTGGTCTTGGACCTGTTGGTTAATGGAGACAGCTATGCAGAGGTCTTAAGACGAGGGATAGGTACTCTAGGAGGCACAGAAGGAAGGATCAGTTGAGGCCAGAAGTTTGATACTAGCCTGGGCAACATAGTGAGACCCTGTCTCTTTCCCCACCCCCCACCCCTGACAGAATCTCACTTTGTCACCCTTGGTAGAATACCGTGGTCTCACAGCTCACGGCAACCTCAAACTCTCTTGGGCTTAAGTGATTCTCTTGCCTCAGCCTCCCAAGTAGCTGGGACTGCAGGCACTTGCCACAGGGCCCAGCTGTTTTTAGAGATGAGGTCTCGCTCTGGCTCAGGCTGGTCTCAAAATCAGAGTTCAAGCGATCCATCTACCGCACCCAGCCTGAGACCTTGTCTCTTAAAAAAAAAAAGGACGGTGCCTGTGGCTCAGTGGGTATGGCGCTGGCCACATACCCCATATACCGAGGGTGGCGGGTTTGAACCCAACCCCGGCCAAACTGCAACAAAAAAATAGCCAGGCGTTGCGCCGGGCACCTGTAGTCTCAGCTACTTGGGAGGCTGAGGCAAGAAAATTGCCTAGGCCCAGGAGTTGGAGGTTGCTGTGAGCTGTATGATGCCTCGGCACTCTACAGAGGGTGATAAAGTGAGACTCTGTCTCTACAAAAAAAAAAAGAAAGAAAGAAAGAAAGAAAGAAAGAAATCAGTCGGGCATGATGGTGCAAACCTGTAGTCCCAGATGCTTGGGAGGCAGAGGCAGGAGGATCGCTTGAGCCTAAGAATTTGAGCTTCCAGTGAGCTATGATGATGACATTGTACTCTAGCCTAGGCAACAGACCAATTCCCTGTCTCAAAAAAAAAAAAGGAAAAATAATAAATCTTATACCTTGAACATGATTCAAAAACATGAAATAAAATTGAATTTTTTGGCAGGGCACAGTGGCTCATGCCTGTAATCCTAGCATTCTGGGAGGCCGAGGCCAGTGGAACTCTTGAGCTCAGGAGTTAGAGAACAGCTTGAACAAGAGTAAGTCCCTGTCTCTACTAAAAACAGAAAAACTAGCCAGGTATCATGATGGATTCCTGTAGTCCCAGCTACTCAGGAGACTGAGGCAAGAGGATCATTTGGGCTCAAGAGTATTAAGTTGCTGTGAGCTATGATGATGTCATGGCAATCTACCCAGAACAACACAGTGAAGCTGTATCAAAAAAAAAAAAAAAATTGAGGCTTGGTGCTTATAGCTCACCAGGTAGGGCGGCCACACACTGGGGCTGACAGATTTGAGCCCGGCCTGGACTAGCTAAACAATAATGATAACAGCAACAAAAAATAGCCAGGCATTGTGGTGGGCGCCTGTAGTCACAGCTACTTGGAAGGCTGAGGCAAAGAGAATTGCTTAAGCCCAAGAGTTGCTGTGAGCTGCAACAAACTCTACCCAAGGGTACATACTGAGACTCTGTCTCTAAAAAAAAAAAAAAAAAAAAAAAAATTAAATATTTTACAAAATACACATATTCTTTAACCAAGAAATTGAGCAGTGAAGTGTTAGAGCACATATTTTGCATATTTTCCAGAGATAGACCAATGTCTCCCAGCCAAATTTTTTTTGGAGACAGTCTCACTTTGTTGCCCTCAGTAGAGTGCCCACAGCTGTGCTGTGTCACAGCTCACAGTAACCTCAAACTCTTGGGCTCCTGTGATTCTCTTGTCTTAGCCTTCCAAGTAGCTCAGACTACAGGCACCTGCCACAAGGCCCAGCTATTTTTAGAGACAAAGTCTCTCTCTGGCTCAGCTGGTCTTGAACTAGTGAGCTCAGGCAATCCACCCACCATGGCCTCCTAAGTGCTAAGATTATAGACATGAGTCACAGGGCCCGGCTACTATTTTTAATTTTAATTTTTTTTTGGTCTCACTTTATCGCCCTCCGTAGAGTTGCTGTGGCATCACAGCTCACAGAAACCCCCAACTCCTGGGCTTAGGCGATTCTTTTGACTCAACTTCCCGAGTAGTTGGTACTACAGGTGCTGCCACAACACCCGTATATTTTCTTGTTGCAGTTTGGCTGGGGCTGGGCTTGAACCTGCCATCTTTGGTATATGAGGCCAGCGCCCTACCCACTGAGCCACAGGTGCCACCCAAATTTTAATTAATTTTTTTTTTTTTTTTGAGACAGTCTCACTTGATCACCCTTGGTAGAGTGCCATGGCATCACAGCTCACAGCAACCTCCAACTCCTAGGCTTAGG